TTAATTTTATTTTATTATCTTTTGTGTGTTTACCATCAAATCAGATTCTACTGGTACAGGAGGAGATTGCCCCTCCTTCTCCAGCAGAGCATCTGGTGCACTCGAACTGCATACCTCTGGGATTGCAGTGCAGCTTCTTGCCACTAGTGAAAATTATTTTTAAATGGCTGAAACAGTACTTTGACAGGGACCTGCCAGAAATTCAAATGTAAGAGAAGAGATATCATTGCTGATATCAGAGATATTTTGGCTAAAAGCAGAGAATATAAAAAATGTGTTTACATGTGGTTTATCGACTATACAAAGGCACTTGACTGTATGGATCACAATAAATTCTGTATAACCTTGAGAAGAATGGGAATCCCAGAACACTTAATTATGCTCATGAGAAACCTATGCCAAGAAGTAATTGTGCTCATAGAGCAAGGGAACATTGCATGGTTCAAAATCAAGAAAGGTGTATGTCAAGGCTCTATCCTTTCTCCATACTTATTCAGTCTGTATGCTGAGCAAAACATTTGCAAAACTAGACTATATGAAGAAGAATGTGGCATAGGGAACAGAAGAAGACTCATCGAAAACCTGTGATATGCAGATGACACTACCTTGCTTGTTCAAAGTGAAGAGGAATTGAAACACTTGTGGAAAAAAAAATCAAAGACTATAGTCTTCAATATGGATTATATGTCAACATCAGAAGACAAAAATCACCACCACTGGACCAACAGGCAGCATTATGGTGGGTGAAGAAAAGACTGAAGTTTTCAATAATTTTATTTAACGTGGATTCAGTCTACACCTATGGTAACAACAGTCATGAAATCAAAAGATTGCATTGGCAAAATCTACTGTCAAGGACTGAGCCAAAGTTCTAAAGAGTAAATTTGTTAGTTTAAAGACTAAGGTGTGTGTGATCTGAGCTACAGTCTTTTCAATTACTTCCTATGTATCCTATGCAGAAAGTTGGAAAATGAATAACAAAAGAAATGATGTCTTTGAGTTGTGGTGTTGGAGAAGAGTTCTAAACATCCCATAGACTACCAGAAGAACAAATAAATCTTTGTTGGAGGAAAGACAATGAGATGTTCCTTAGAGACAAGGATGGTGGAACTTCATCTTACATAGTTTGGACATGTTGTCAGGATGGGCCAGTCATTCAGAAAAGATGTCATGCTGGGAAAGGTGGGGGGTGCAGCAAGCGAGGAAGACCCTCAAACTAGATAGATTGACATAGCACTAGAGTGTGGTGGAGATCATGAGGATGGAGCCGGTTAGGGCAAAGTTGAGAGCAGTAGTCAACTCAGTAGAACCTAATGACAAAAACAAATAAGATGCAAACCAGCTGGGGGGAAATAGTCAACTGTTTCACATAGGAAAGCAGAAAGACTACTGTTAATGAGTTTAGTTTTTAACCAAAAGTTTGGCAGTTTGAGTCCACATAGAGTTGCTGGGGGGTGGGGGTGGGGGAAAGCCCGACAACCTACTTCTGAAAAATCAGCCACTGATGCCCAGTAGAGTACATTTCTAAACTGATACACATTGAGTTTTCATGAATCAGAATGTAACAATGGTAACTGGGACTGGTACTGGTTCTGGTGAGTATGTTTGGATTTGGGAAGAAGAATTAAGCTCCTATTGCTATAAGCACTCTTGGCTTCATTTTCTCAGCTATAGAATGGATGCAGAAAAATAGGCACCCTGAAATACTGCTGTGGCAAATTTCCTGTATTAGAGTTCATAACTTGGAAAAAGAGAAATCTTAGTATCTTTGAGACTTGCAGGAGTGAGCATGTTTTTAGGTTACTCTAATAAAGGCAAGGATAAACAAAACTGGGAAATTGTCCCAACTGGACAGCTTCTTGGTTTCCCTGGGACCTTTGGGAAAAGAGCTCGCTGAGCCTTTACTACTGCCATCAGGAGGAGTCTGCAGCAGGACACTGGCTAGGCTCCCTCCCGAGTGGACACTAACCTGCTAACGAGGGCGGGTCCAGCACTGTTTTGTTTCCCCCTTCTCTCCCATTGCAGATGAAGCCCAGGAAGCAGAAGCCATACGGATCCTGACTTCAATCTTGAACATTCGGGAATCTGCATCTAAACCAGACCCAGAAAAAACTGTCTTTGTTCTGAAAACCCTGGCCATGCTTTACTACCTGATGACGAATTATTCAAAGGCAAGTTGCCTTAGAAAAGCATCTTGTCTAAAAGAGATAGAAATTCCTCCAGCTGAATCCAGCCCAATTCCATCAGCCTGCAGAATAAATCTTCCCTCTAATAAAGTTCAGATACTCAAGAAGTTTCTCATTTAGGGAAACTAGCATGCATAATAGAAATATGACTGTCTTCTTCCCCTAAGGCTTGCTTAGATGAACTGAGGGCAGATGTCTACTGCCTAGGAGTCTACAAGACAAAAGGGCTCCAGAAAGTCCTTAGATAAGTGGAGTAATTTCTTTAAGAGGGAAATGTTTGTCATCTGTTCCTTTCAGTAAAATACTTGTCTGTCAGATATTGTTCTAAAGCTGAACATCCAAATTAATACAAACTAGGAAGAAGGATTGGCCATCCACTTCCAAAATAGAACAGGCCTCCAAAAACCCTATGTACAATAAGAACACACTTGAACTAGCAGATATGACAACTGAGGTTAAGTCCTCAAATTTGGAAACAAAAGGAAGAAGAAGAATTGTAAGCAGAAACTAAATGACTGGACCATGGACTATGAGAAGCATGACTATAGGAAAAGTGGGCATGGTTAAGAAAGAAATGGAACATATAAATATTGACATATTAAGTGTTGGTGAAATGAGACGAATTGGCATGGAATATTTTTAATAAGACAATCATGACCTACTATGCTGGAGATGAAAAGCTGAGAAAAAAGAGGGGTCACTTTTATAGTTAAAATACACTGTTGTGAGTAACAGGATAATATCCATATGCATACAAGGAAGTCTGGTGACTACCACTATCATTCAAATATATGTGCCAACCACCAGAGCCAAAGAGGAGAAAACAGATGTTTCTATCAACTGTTGCAGTCAGAAATTGATCAAACATGTAACCAAGGTGCATTAATAATAACGGGTGGCTGGAATACAAAAGCTGGGTCCCAGGAAGAAAGATTAGTAGTAGGATAATACAGACTTAATGACAGAAATGAGGCGGGGGATAGAACAAAATAATTCTGTAAAGTCTGATTTTTTTTCATTGCAAATACCTTTTTTAAAATTCTATTTAATTTTTGTGTGTACCATCAAATCGGATCTGACTGGTACAGGAGATTGCCCCTCCTTCTCTAGCAGAGCATCTGGTGGATTTGAAACGCATACCTCTGGAGTTGCAGTGCAGCTTCTTGCCACTAGGCCACCAGAGCCCCCTTTGCAAATACCTTTTAAAAGAAACATACCAGGTGATACACATGGATTTCACTTGATGGTATGTACAGGAAACAGATTGATTACATCTGTGGAATTATTGGAGAAGTTCCGTATCAGCAGTGTGATTGCAGAACAGATGCAAGTTCTAATTAAAGCTAAAGAGGTCAAATCAACTCCACAGGAATGAAAATTTGATCTTGGAGTCTATCTCACCTGAATTTAAAAACCAACTCAGGAACAGGTTTGAGGCGTTGAACACCAGTGAGTGAAGACCAGATGAGCTGCAGGAGGATATCAAGAATATCATCCAGGAAATGCACAAGGTCATTGCAAAGACAGAAGAAGAAGAAAGACCAAAATGGATTTCAGAAGAGACTCTGAATGTTGCATTAGAGTGCCGAGAAGCCAAAGTAAAGGTTTCAAAGGGCAGAACGAGAAGACAAAGTATTTATTTTCTTTTTAAAATTAATTTTAATAAACATTTACAGAGGTTTTGGATTTCCATTCATTCATTGCCGCACTTTTCTCCCTGCCCACCCCTCCCCACCAGTTCGCTCCCCTCTCTGAAAAGAAAAAGAAAAGAAAAATTCCTTCATTAGTATGCAATTCCCCCATCCCTTTTCCCCCCCCCCACCCCGAGTACACTTCTCTATGCAACCTTAATTCTGGATTCCTGTGCTAACCACAATACTCAATCATATATCACCTCTAATCTGTTCTTTGCCTCATCTGTTTCAATACAATGTACATAATTTATCCAGTTTTTTTCTGTCAGACCCATTCTACAACAGTGGCACCATGCAGTATTTGTCCCTTTGTGACTGAGATATTTCACTCAGCATAATGTCCTCCAGGGTCACCCATTTTTAATAATATTGCATGAGTTCCTTGTTTTTCAATGCAGTGTAGTATTCCATTGTGTGGATATACCACAGCTTCTCTATTCATTCGTTTGTTGACGGGCCCTTAGGTTACTTCCAACTCTTTGCTATTGTAAACAAAGCTGCGATAAACATGAGTGTGCAAAAGCAAAGTATTTTAATGAAATGTGCAAAGAGCTGGAGCCAGAAAAATCGAAAGGGTCGAGCACTTTCTTCATTTCTTAAGCAGAAGAAACTGAAGAACAAATTCAAGCATTGAGTTTCCATACTTAAAGATGCTATGGGCAGAATCTTGAATGATACAGGAAGTATTAAAAGAAGATGGAAGGAGTATACAGAGTCTCTGTACCAAAAAGTACAGAAGAATTTCAGGAAACAACATAAGATCAAGAAACCATGATGATGAAGGAGCAAGTTCAGGCAGCTTTGAAGGACTAGGCCCCAGGAACTGATAGAATACCAATTCACATATTTCAACAGATACTGCGCTCACCAGGTTGTGCCAAGAAACCTGGAGGACAAGTATGGGGCCATCTGACTGGAAGAGATCCATATTTATTCCCATTCCAGGAAAAAAAAGTGACCTGACAGAGTGTAGAAATTATCAAATAATATCAGTATTATCACACATAAGCAAAATCTTGCTGGAAATTATCCAAAAATGACTGGAAAACTACATTGACAGAGAGCTACCAGAAATACAAACTGGGTTTAGAAGAAGTTGTGGCATCAGTCTTGGCAGAAAGTAACAATACCAGAGGAATACCTATCTGTATTTTTCATCAACTATGCAAAGGTATTTAACTGCATGGATCACAACAAATTATCGCTTGAGGAGAATGGGGATTCTAGAACACTTGATTGTGCTCATGTGAAACCTATACTTGGACCAGGAAGTAGTTGTCAGAACAGAGCAAGAAAACACTGCATGGTTTAAAATCAAGAAAGCAGTCCATCAGGCATGCATTTTGTCTCCATACCTTTTTACTCTATATGCAGAACAGATTATACAGTAGGTTGGGCTTTATGAAGAGGAATGTGGTATCAGGATTGGAGGAAGACTCATCAACAACCTGTGATAATATGATGACACAACCTTGCTTGCTGAAACTTAGAAGGACCTGAAGCGCTTGTTGCAGAGTCGAGCACTGTAGTCTTCAATATGAACTGAAGCTTGACCTCAAGAAGACAAAGTTTCTTACCACTGGGCTAATTGGAGGTACCATAATATATGGAGAAGAGACTGAGGTTGTTAACAATCACAGCTTGCTTGGCTCCAAAATGTACACTCTTGGCCCCAGCATTCATGAAATCAAAAGACTAATTTTACTGGGAAAAAATCTATTGCAGGGAGGTTTTCAGAGTACTGAGAAGCTACAATGTCACTCTAGAGACTAAGGTGTGCTTGATCTAGGCTATAGTCTCCACTGTTACTTACTATGAATCAGAGAGCTGGACAATGACTAAGAATGACAGAAGAAAAATCTATACCTTAAAGTTGTGGTGCAGAAGAAGAATATTGAACATACCATGGACTGCCAAGAAAATAAACAAGTCTGTTTTGGAGAGGCAGAAATCATATTTTTCCTTGGAGGCTAGGATTTTGAAGCTCTGTCTCACATACTTCACTTATGTGGCCAGGAGGGACTGGTCCTTGGAGAAGGACATCATACTCAGAAGGGTGGAGGGACAGCTCAGAAGAGGAAGACCCCAGATGAGATGGACTGACACACTATCTGGAATAATGGGGGTAGGTATGTTGAAGTCAGTGAGACTGGCTCAGGATAGGACAGGTTTCAGAGCTGTTGTACATAGGGTTATTATGCGCTGCAGGTGACTTGATGGAACATAACAACAACTGTACTCACACTCCTTGAGTTCACTGTTGCTGGAAGGGTTCTGGCAAAAATGAATCGCCATGGGAAGATTACTTTTTGGCGTGCTCATGACAGACCTGTCTCGGAACTTTACATGACTTACCACATTTAATTATCATATAAGCCTTTTGAGGCAGTTACTTTATTCTTTCCAATTTACAGATATCCATTATTTGCCCAATGTCTCACAAAAATTAAGTGGCAAATCTTAGACTGATTGCTTCATTTAATTAATTAGGGAACATCTTCCACTATTCTAGGACTTGGAGATTCAGTGGTAAATAATCAGACAAATTTTCTATCTTCATTTAGCTTATATTCTTTGAAAGAGAGGAAATCCTAACAAATAAGAAAACATATAATGTGTAATAATTTCAGATAGTGAAAAGTACTGTGAAGAAAAAGAAAGCAAACGGGGAGATGTTGTGTGCTGTCAAGTTGGAATCAACTCATTGCTGATCTCCAGAGGCTGTAAACTGCACAGGAGGAGATTGTCCATTTCTCTCCCACATAGATAGTGAGAAATTGCTCATCTTTCTCCTGTGTAGCAGGTGGTGAATTTGAACCATCTGTCTTTGGGTTGGCAGCACAACTCCTTCCCACTAGGTTACTAGAACTCCTTCAAGGAGAGATAGTGTGAACTTAATTATAGGAAGCACTTTCTTTTGTGGATAACAGGAAAATTTAGGTTTCCTGTTTGCCTCTTTCCCCCCTTCCCTTCCCAAAGTCATCCTTCCCTTCCTTCCTTCCTGCCTTCTTCCCTCTCTCCCTCCTTCCTCTCTTCCCTGCCTTCTTTCCATCCTTTCTTCCTCCCCCCTCTCCTTTAGCAATCCTTTACTAAGCACCTACTGTGTACCAGAGACTGTTAAGAGAAATTTATAGTCAGTAGGCTGTATTAGAGCATGATGATGAAACCTAACATGGCAAAGGAGCACAGAAGTGGGATCACAACCCTGTCTGAAGTAAGGATAGGATAGTCAGAAAAAAAGGAACACATTTTCATTGCATATTCAAGTTTACATTAGACAAATGCCTCTTCTCTACAGTGCAGAGTCCATTTTCTGCTCTCTCTATATTAACATGTCAGATTTACAAGAGGCCAATGAAAAGAACATCTTTCCAACTCAATTCTTTACTAGGTTGCCTTTTTTTTAAAAAAGTAGTAAAATATTTTCTCTGTTCTCCCCACCTAAAATTGCAAAACCTTGCCACCACCTTTGAAACTTCCATCCACCGTTCTTGCCTTTTTTCTTTTGTTATTAGAATTTATTATTCTGCTATTTTTTTTATTTTACTTACTTATTTTGTTTATTCTTTTTTTCCCTCTGATTAAGTTGTAAGTTTCATGAAGGCAAGAATTTCTGTCTGTAGTCAAAGTACCTGGGATATAATAAACCATAAATATTTATAGGAAGGAAAGAAATAGGAAGAGATAGGTAATGAGAGCCAGAATCTGTCCCAAGGTGTCCTCCGGAACTTATTTCCAAATCAAAACCCTGGACCACACGACTCCAGGTCGGCCTCAGGTTGTAATTGTATTTGAGGCATGTATCACCTCTATACCTCCTATAAGGGCATTATTAAAATCCTGCAAACATCCCGCTTTGCTGGGAAGGCATCTTTAATTTGCTGCTAGTTCATTAAAAAGAGTTGGTTTTTCTGGTGTCCCTGTCTAGGGAAGGCCCTCTGTGTTCACAAGATTTTGTTGGGTTGTTTGTTTTGAGGGGGTGTGTGTGTCCACAAGTTTTATCAAGAAAAATGACTGGGGTAATCGGGATGGGTGTGTCAGAGGCAGTGAGATTGGCACAGGATAGAGCAGGGTTTAGGGCTGTTGTACATAGGGTGCTATGAGTCGCAAGTGACTCGACGGCACATAACAACAACAACAACATTAATGCCTAGAGCAAGAAATTGGTGGACACTCTCCCATGTTTCTGGGATTTTCATAAATAGAGCTCCCCAATCTTATGCTTTCCTGTAACATTTTTGTCATTGCAATTCTATTTCAGGCCCAAAAATATGCCACAAAAGCCCTTACTATAGCTACTGAACAGCTCAGTGATCAAGAACAAGAAAACGTTAAAAATTTGTTAAATCTCATCTCAGCTGAAGAATCTCATCCCCAGTGACCCCTGAAAAGTGACTAATAAAAACCATATATCCCTGCCTCCCACTCTTTGTACTTTGAAGTACTATGGATTATTAAATTTCCTCTTTCTTCTAGAGTGGACACATAGTTGTATTGTTTGTTTGGGGTTTTTTTTTGTTGCTGTTGGTTTTTTGGTTGTTTTTTTTTTACAGAGCATATGTGAGGGCAATAGACATAGAAAAACCATGGAATTAGTAAACTTTAAATTGTGATGCTGAGATGTTTGCCATTTATCATTAATTTTGTCCTTAATATCTTCACTTGATTTTTAATAATATGCTGTCAGATCACTAATATAGTCATTATAATAAAACTATATGTTTCCTAAAAGTCTGTCAGTACTGGATGTTTCATGAATCTTTGCCAAAGGAGGACGTGAAGAATGGTGATTTTGTGGAGCAAATGTTCTCAATTCTGCTGGGATCAAATGAGCATTAAGATGAAGTATATTGTGACTGTAAAAGATGTCCCCTATAACTCTTACGGGAGCTCTGGTGGCGTTATCTATAGAGAGTTGTTTTGCTAACCCAAAGGCAGCATTTCTCTAGCAGTTCAAATCCACCAGTGGCTCCTCAGGAGAACGGTGGCCAGTCTTCTCCTGTGTAATGTACGGCTTCCAAAAACCTGCTGCAGGATCAGCTACACTTCAATTCTGACTTGACGGTAATTAGTTTGGAGGGTTTTTTAAAATTAAAATTTTTAGAGCAGTCATTAAGAAACTAATTCCTAAGGAAAAAAGTAAACAACTCCATCGTAAAATGAGCGCAAGATAAGAACAGACACTTCCCCAGAGAAGGCATTCAGATGGTCAACAAACACATGAAGATATGGTCAAAATCCCTAGCTCTAAGAGAGATGCAAATCAAAACAACTTTGAGATATCATCTCACCCCAGTAACAATATCAAAGTTCAACAGAGCAGCAAACAATAAATGCTGGTGAGGTTGTGGAGAAATTGGAACCCTTATTCTCTGTAGTGGTAGTGTAAAATAGTGCAACCAGTATGGAAGGCAGTATGATGCTTTCTCAAAAAGCTGGAAACAGAAATACCATCTGACTCAACAATTCCTCTACTATGAATATACCCTAAAGAAACCAGAGCTGCCACTCAAACAGACATATGTACACCCATGTTTATTGCTATGTTGTTCACAAAAGCAAAGAGATGGAAGCAACCCAAGTGCCATAAACAAATGAATGGATAGAAAAACTATGGTATAGTCACACAATAGAATACTATGCAGCACTGAAAAACAATAGACTCATAAAATATTATACAACATAGGCAACCCTGGAGGAAATTATGCTTAGTGAAATATCTCAGCTATGAAAGGACAAATATAGCATAACGCCACTGTTCTAAAACAAGACTGACATAGGGTTTGGGGGGAAACTAAGAAAGTAGGAATAAATAATGAACTCACTGCATTGGAACAGATGAAGGAAAGAACTCTATAAAAGGAATATATGATTATGCATTATCTGTATGACAATAGTCCAGAATGAGAGGTGCACAGCAAGGTGGATAGGGGAAAGGTTGGGGGAGGGACGAAATTATGCAACAATGAATGATTTTTTTTTTAAAAAAAAAAGCACACTGGGGAGATGTGTAGGGAGGAAAATATAGAACAATAAGTGAATTTTTAAAATCCAACTTTTCTGTAAACTTTTATTAATATCACAATTAAATAAAAAGGAAAAACTGCAAAATCAAATCATCAAGATGATACATTGGGAAATATCCACTTAATACAATCGAAGTCAAATGAAAGAAAAATCAAGGAATATGAGACATAAAGAAAACCAATAACAAAACTGCAGACATGATTCACAAGTCCATAAGGAGTCTGGGTATGAACTGGCTGAGTTATCATTCCAGGCTGGTAACTTAGTTTTCCCAACGATTTTAAGCTGGCATGAGCCAGCTATACTGCCTAGAGGGAAGAACTTCTGAAAGGTGATGTGATGTAGGGGACAGAATGCAGGACTTGACATCTTGGACTGAATTGTGTCCCCTCAAAATACATGTGTGTAATGATAAATGTGGAAATTATGTGATGATCTGCCCGAACAAATAAACCAAATAGATATAAAAGGATTAAGGGTGGTGTGCAACACCCTTTAATTCCTCACAACACTGATCTGATGTAAGGAGGGTTTCCCTAGGGTGCAATCTATAACACGTTTTGTCTGACAAGATATAACAGGGAGAGAGGGACCTCAATACCTCCAAGGGAGTGGAGTGTAGATTTTTTGCATTCAAGTCCCTGTATTGTGGAAATTCTTGACACTGGGGAAGGCCAGAACACATGTAAACCTTCAAGGAATATCAAGCATACATACAGATGCCAAAGGCGACATGGACATTCATCTGGAATCAACAGAGGAAGCTTTTCCCTAGAGCCAACACCCTGTCTTTGGAATTTCAGTCTCTTAAAAATGATAGAATATTTCTGTCTCTTTACTGTTGTGAACAATACACAATAAACATGGGTGTGCATATATCTGTTTGGGTGGAAGCTCTAGTAATGAATGGACAGAGAAGCTGCAGTATATTCACACAATGGAATATTACACAACACTGAAAAACAAGGAATTAATAAAATATTCTACAAAATGGGAGATCCTGGAGGACAGTATGCTGAGTGACATATTTTAGTCAAGAAAGGACAAAAACTCTATAATTGCACTGTTATAAAACAGGACTGACATGGGAGTTTGGGGGAAACTAAGAAAAGAGGGGGAAACCATTGCATTGGATCAGATGAAGGAAAGAAATGTTTAAAAAGAATATGTGATTATTTGCATGACAACAGTCAGAATAAGAGGTGCATAGCAAAGTGGACTGGGTGGGAGGGCAGGGAGGAAATTGTGCAACAAAGAATGAATTTTTTTAAGAGAAAAGCGAACTGACAGAGGCAGGTGTAGGGAAGAGAATGTGCAATAATGAATTAATGGAAATCCAAGTTTTCTGTATACTTTTGTTAAATCACAAAAATATTATTGATAAAGAATGATAGAATACAAAACATCTATGGGATATCATTTCACCCCAGTCAGAATAGCAAAATTTAACAGAACAGCAAGCAACAAATGCTGGTGAGGTTGTGGAGAAACTGGGACCCTTATTCACTGTTGGTGGGAGTGTAAAATGGTGTAACCACTGTGGAAGGTGGTATGGCGCTTTCTCAAAAAGTTGCAAATAGAGATACCATTTGACCCAGCAATTCCATTACTGGGAATATACCCTAAAGAGACCATAACTGACATCCAAGCAGATATATGCACACCCATGTTTATCGTGGCTTTGTTCACAAAATCAAGGAGTTGGAAACAACCTAAGTGCCCATCAAAAAACAAATGGATAGAGAAGCTGTGGTATATTCACACAACGGAATACTACACTGCATTGAAAAACAAGGAACTCATGCAATATTATTCAAAATGGGTGACCCTGGAGGACATTATGCTGAGTGAAGTATCTCAGTCACAAAAGGACAAATACTGCATGGTGCCACTGTTGTAAAGTAGGACTGACCTCAGGGTTGTGGGGAGACTGAGAAGGATGGGTTCAATAATATATTCTGCATTGAAACGGATGAGGGAGAAAACTGTTTAAGAGGGATAAGTTATTAGGTATTTTTGTCATGACAGGTGTCCAGAACGAATGCTGTATAGTGGAGTGGACCTGGGGGGAGGGATTGTAAGACAATGAAAGAATTTTTCTTTTACTTTTCCAAGAGGGTAGTGTACTAGGGTGGAGGGTTGGGAGGGGAGAAAAGTGCAACAGTGAATGATTGGAAATCCAAAGTCTCTGTAAATTTTCATTGAAATTAATAATAAATTAAAAAAATGATAGAATAAATTTTTTATTGTTAAGACATCTGCTTATAGTAGTGTTATAACTACTATAAAGTTATATATACTGTACCTGCTCATAACTAGTATTATGGCGGCACTAGATCAAATACTCAAACTCATTGTCACATAGCCAGAACCCACTCATAGGTGACCCTCCCTCCACTGGGTTTTAGAGGCTGTAAATCGCACAGGATGAGATTATCCATCTTCCTCAGGAGGAACCACTGGTAGATTGGAACTACCAGAGAGGTGCCATGTTTGGGTTAGCAGTGAAACTTCGTATGGACTGACTATACCCCTGGAGCCCAGGTTGCTTACATACCAGAGAGTTTTGTGACTTTGATCTCCCAAAGCCTCATCCAAATGGTTAATATGTGACCACCAACTTGTCGTATTTGGACATATCTTAGCACATCACTTAGCACATATCTTATTCCCTCCCCACCTCATTTGGTTGCTTTCTAAATTAACCAAGGAGCCTTCTAGTTAGTATTTGGCTTCCTGAGTAACACTGCACCATGGGGAGAACGTGCAGGCTAAGGAACAGTGGGAGACTTATGTTCCATGCTATAAATTAATGAGCTCTTTGTTTAAAAGATAATGTACATGAATGAAACACAATGTATATGAATCATTGTATCCAAACTAGTAAAAAAAGGAAAAATTAATGATCTCAGACATACACAACAAAAATGCCAGATGTGGTCCTCTTGTCATTTTAACTCTTGGTAAAATCACGTGGAACTCCTCTTCCAACATTTGGACCTTCTAGTCTCTAAGGTTTACTTTTCTTTTAGCCATTTCTCACCCTAATTTTCAGCACCAATTTAATCCTTACTCCCTACTCTGTATCTTACTGCAGAGTTTTCCTTTTAAGCACAGAAGTCCTTATTGGTTTTCACATCTTAACCTGAAATACGAACAGATTCTTAGTGAAGATTGGGATGGAGGTGGAAATCAACAGCCCTTCAGCATATAATTTAAAAGAGAATATCCAAACTATTTTTTAAAAAGTTCTTTGTTTATTCCATGGGGAGGTACTCAACATGGTCCAATTACAGTATGCTTAGTAACTTACATGTGCATTAACTTTGTTAAACATCAACCACAAAGAGTAGA